GAAAATTTATCAAAGTCATTCTGAAAAACAATTACACACACAAGAAAACATTAACATCCAGAAGTCACACAACAAAACAGCCTGAAATTTTCCTATCAACTGCTTAGCATTTCTACGCTTATGAGGTTATTTTCTGAAACACAGCCATACATTTATAACTGTATTTATCCCTCCAGCTACTTCAAGTCCACGTTTACCCAGGTCAAAGACATGCATCTTCTTTATGGCATCTAATACAGTCACATGCCAAGTTATCTGAATGACATCTTCTAAAGTACTTTGGATAGAACATTTTAAAACGCTGCTCATTTTAGTCTGTGGTTCCATATTTAACTGCTAACCTGCATGAAATGGTAAAAGCAGAAAAGGAAAGGTAACTCAGTCATAAAAAGGTTGATTTATAGGCTCCTACCTTGTTGGAAGGCTTCATAGCTACTGAAATGACCGGATCAGGGATGTGAATCGACTCCTGCAATGGCCATAAAGGAAGAGATCATACAATTGAGTTCCAGTACACCTGGCGATGCAATTTCTCCAGAAAAGTCCGGTCACAGGAACGCCGGGTTACGAACAGGGATGACAGTTTTACTTATTTAGCTCGTATCTAATATTATAGCGTACCAAAATTATGTAACTCTCCTGAGGATTACCACAAGGCTACAACATAATGCATGCCACACTGCCAACCACAGTATTTCCAAGGTTTCCTAGATGCGACTTGATCTCTGAATTTCACACTAGTTAGAAGACTTTGCTTCCCATCAGATTTTGTAAATGTGTATATATAAATAAAACTGACGTATTTAAATACCTACACAAATACATAGCTTAACATTTTTGGGTAACAGCATCCACTTCTAACAGTCTAGAACAGTTTGCTAACACTTCAGGAATATATTTGATGTCAAGTGTGGTAAACAGGTGTGTATCTCTCTTGCACATACCATACTTTTATATATCCGGGCTCCTTGAGGTATAACAAATAGTCACAAAAAATACTTGCAATTGCAAATACATCAAAATATATTTAAACTGAACAAGTGATTAAAAACTTCTACAACAAAATCCTGGTAAATTCCAAAGCATGAGGCATACAGATGAAAAGGTGTACTCACCATGGAAATGTTAGTACTAGTTTTATCAGTGAACGTATCCCCACTAGCACAATCAATTCCAAATAATGCACATATGTCACCTGCATAAACTTCATTTACATCCTTAAGAAAGAAAAGTTGACTGTTTAGATAACACTGAAAGATATATTACAAACTACATCCAATTTTAAGCAGCAATACAAATACTGTGTTTAAAAGCCTTAAGTTAAGCTCCTTTGAAAGTTCCAACTTTGATAAAATGCTCTGTAACTTTTCCATCTATTTATTCAAAGTACACACAGAAAAAGGGATGCTAACTTATTCTGGTCAAGCAACATACTATGTTTCGGGCAGTCCTGACCCAGCTATAGAGTTCAGGAATTTTAAACACAAAATGGTACCATTTGCAACATTCTGAGAGTCAATTTTTAGTTTAAGAATTGTATTCAATAATTGCATGGAAGAAAACTTTTTTGTGTGTTTTGCTAATGGAGATAATACCACAGCTGGCTTTCTTTAGCTATCACTGCAAAGCCATTTTATAATGCTTCTTGGGCAAAGGTTCTTCCACTTTAGTGGAAATAATACACTAGAGTTCATTCCAGTTTCTTGTAGAGCTCTAGTTAAGTGCTACAGGCAAGTATGAGTTAACAACAAAAGCAGAAATTTGACATCACATCGTTCAGAGGTAGTTGAAAATCGAGAAGCTCATTTAGTAAAGGCAACCCATCTGGATTGTACCTCTCACACTCACCTCCATGTTGTCGGAATGCATACGGACAAGTCTTTGTACACGCACTCTCTTCCCAGTCCTGGTGTTATAGATATAATCAGATTTCCTCAGCATCCCCTGATAAACTCGAACATAAGTTAACTGCCCGAAACGGCCAGCCTGGAATCAAAATTCATTAAAAATCAGACATAAACCTTCTGGGAGGAAAGACCACTACTATTCAAAGCATGATCTGCACTGACTGGCTAAATGTTTCTGTTTTGAATTTAAACACTAGACGTGTAAATGAAACTTTTTTTAGCGTACTCTCTGCTTTCATTTGGCTCTGGAATGGAACTTGGCATCTCCTGGCAATTTTCTTTACTTCTCCAATTTTACCAGCCTTAAAACTTCCCAACAGAGACATAACTAGCAATTTGGACAGTCACTTTCCATATGAGAATTTGAACTGCTACTCCGTAGGTAGCAAACAACTTGTTTCATTAAAATGGTGTACTTTTTTCCTCTCCAACTCTCTCATGTTCCATTGTTTCCAACTTCAAACAAAACCAAGATTTTTCTCTGGAAGTATTTGAAATAAGCCAACAAACACCCCCCCCAGTTTTACCTAAGAAAATCATTAAGAATTTGAGGCACATAACCCATTTTAAAATGTCCAAATTTGGCAACGTTTGATACATTTGTGGATTTTATGGTTGAAACATTTATTTTTTTTTAAAGAAGTTAAATTTAAATTGAATTTAAACAAACTGATTTTAAAATTTGTTCTATGTAAGTTTTGGTAGTACCATCTGTTTGGACTCACTCTGCTTTCTACTCAAATCAGAAATAATGAACCTGGCTACCTTCTTTCCACCTGCAGGGTTAACACAATGTGAGTACAACTTTTGCTCCGCAGAGGTCAGATATTGTAGCACGGGTAACTTGCAAGCAATTGAATAAATTCAGCTGGGTAATGTTCTGGGCATCCATTCTCTAGAAACTTTTAGTTTAGCTTTCCCATATATGCAGTGACCAAGTAAAAAAGCCATCACATGCACAAATAGCTACACTTAAAATACAAAGCTTCAAATATGCGCTTTTCCCCCAAAACAAAAGGCATTTCCCAGGCATCACTAACAAGCCACCAATAGCTCAGTGCAAGCAAGACTTGCACAGGCCAACAACTCTCGCAGGAAATGCCCTGCTTCTCTATTAGTTTTGCTGCATTAGAAAGGAAAACATTAACAGCTTACCTCCAGTTTAAAAGCAAGGCCTATAAAAGGCTGGGAATCATCTCGAGCAGAGTTCAACAAGAACTTGGTTTTGTCCTCAGAATCCCTTAAAAACAGGGATGGAAAGAGAGTTTATGTTATGAATCAAACATGGCAGCCTCCTCTAAACATGAGCCCAACCTCAAAAAGTCCCAAGGGCCCTCGGTTTCACAGATTTGTAACTGAGACTTAAAGATGCTCACACCTGTAGCTCTCATATGCTCAGAAAGTATCTCAGGGAAACTGCAGCAGATCCCAAAAAGGGGGTCAAAATTATGACAAATATCACTAGTCCTTCATATTGTCCAACTATTTTGCCATGAAAGCAATTGATCATTGCACAACTCATGGGCAAGTCCAGTTTTAGAGTGAAAAAAGAGACACTGCAGTAACCCTTCTGACAACGCTCATGAGCCACATGAGAAATTTTAGTCTATCTTAGCAGGCAGACGTTAGAGGCAGCGCGAGGCACAGAAGCAGTGAGGACTCAAAGAATCAGGTAACTGCTGGGAGAAAAAGTCATAAACTGTATT